ACCAACCCGACCAAGAACAGAAAAAGTGAAGGAATATAGTTTTTTTTCATGAGGAGGCAATTAGATGCTCACGGAAAAGATGAGTTTTGAGTTGTTTCTTAAAGATTGTGAGGGATTTGGCTGTCCGGATGGAGTTAGGTAGGTAATTCCACCAACAGGGTATGGTGAAAGAGAACGTCCTGGAGAGAGATTTTGTGCCTCTCTGCAATGGGACCATGAGCTGCCACTCGTTTACTGTAGATGCTTAGAAGAGGCTTCTGGAGGGGATGTAGATGCTTAGAAGAGAGTGGAGGAAGGAGGTTGCGGAGCCCGTGGCTGTTCTGTAGGCAAGCACCAATGACTTGAATTTGATGCAAGCTGCGATTGGTAGCCAGTGCGGAGAGATGAGAAGTGGTGTGACATGGGCCCTCTTGGGCTCATTGAAAACAAGACGTGCTGCTGCATTTTGAATCATATGCAGAGGTCTGATTGCACATGTTGGGAGTCCAGCCAGAAGAGCATTGCACTAGTCCAGCCTATAAATGACAAGGGCCTGGACGAGAAGCTGTGTTGCATGTTCTGTTATGAAGGGTCTGATCTTCCTGATGTTGTGTAGTGCAAACCTGCATGATCGTGCTGTTTTTGCAGTATGCTCTTTAAAGGTCAGCTGATCATCAAGGACCACCCCAAGATTCCTGGCTGAACCCGATGGGCTTATCGTTGATGAGCTTAGTTGGATGGTAAACTGGTGCTGAACTGATGGAGTGGCAGGGAAGATGAGAAGCTCTGTCTTTGCCAGGTTGAGTTGCAGGTGATGTTCTTTCATCCATGCTGAGATGTCCGTCAGGCAGTTTGAGATCTGAGCAGGTACCGTTGGATCATCTGGTTGAAATAAGAGGTAGAGCTGCATGTCATCAGCATAGCAATGGTATGAAAAACCATGTGCCTGAATGATGGGTCCCAGTGATGTAGTGTATATAGAGAAGAGGAGGGGTCCAAGAACTGATCCCAGAGGAACCCCAGTGACCAGTTGATGTGATTTGGATACCTCTCCTCCCCAAGACACCCTGAAGGACCTACCTGTGAGGAAAGACTCAAACCAGTGGAGTGCAGTTCTGGTGATGCCCAGTGATGAGAGGGTGGACAGAAGGATTTGATGATTAACAGCGTCAAATGCAGCAGATAGATCTAGCAGAATGAGTACTGAAGATTTGGACTCAGCTCTTGCACTCTGTAGCGCTTCAGTGACTAAAAGCAAGGCGGTTTCAGTTGAATGGCCACTTTTGAATCCAGATTGGTTGTTGTCCAGCAGGTTGTTCTGTGAGAGGAAGGAAGACACTTGGTTGAACACAACGCGTTCAAGTGATTTTGCTATGAATGGGAGGAGAGAGATGGGTCTGTAGCTCTCAATAAGTGAAGCGTCTAGTGTGGTTTTTTTAAGCAGTGGGGTTACCCGAGCCTGCTTGAATGCAGTGGGGAAAATGCCTGTGAGAAGAGATGAGTTGATGATGTGTGTGAGTGAAGGCATACAGTGGGGCAAATATTTATTTGATCCCCTGCTGATTTTGTAAGTGTGCCCACTTACAAAGAAATGGTCTGTAATTTTTATGGTAGGTTTATTTTAACGGATAGAGACAGAATATCAACCAAAAAATCCAGAAAAAAATAATTCATTGAATTACAGTATGCTTTTAGATCATCAGATACTGGTTGCAACCAGTTCCAATTTAAATCACCGATCAGGACTAATTCTTTAGGGTCTAGATCTGATATAATCTGTGTCAAGGAAGATAAGGTTTCATTTACTGCTGAAGGTGGCCTATAGCATCCAACTAAAGTAATATTGCAGGTTTTAGAAACCTCAATATTTAAAGCTAAAAGATCAAATTGATTTTTCAATGATTTAGATAACAGCATATTCATACTACATTTAGTTTTAATAAAAACTGCAACTCCACCTCCTCTATTAGATCGATCAGCCCTATTTCAGTGAGTGAAATAAGTATTTGATCACCTACCAACCAGCAAGAATTCTGGCTCGCACAGATTGGTTATGTGCCCATGTGGAACACAGATTAGTCCTGCCACTTTAAGAATTTGATCCTAATGTCAGCTCGTTAGGTGTATAAGACATCTGTCCACACAATCTGTATCTTCCATTCCAACCTCTCCCACCGCAATGGGCAAGAACAAAGAGCTGTCAAAGGATGTCAGAGACAAGATTGTAGATCAGCACAAGGCTGGAATGGGCTAAAAGACCATCAGCAAGAAGCTTGGTGAGGAGACAACTGTTGGTGTGATTATTCGGAAATGGAAGAAATACAAAACAAACAATCAATCGGCCTTGGTCTGGAGCACCGTGCAAGATCTTGCCTCATGGGGTAAGGATGATCATGAGAAAGGTGAGGGATCAGCCCCGAACTACACGGGAGGAGCTTGTTAATGATTTTAAGGCAGTTGGGACCACAGTCACCAAGCGAAACATTGGTAACACATTACTACGCAATGGACTGAACTCCTGCAGCGCCCGCAAGGTCCCCCTGCTCAAGAAGGCACATGTACAGGCCTGTTTAAAGTTTGCCAAAGAACATCAAAATGTTTCAGAGAAGGCTTGGGAGAAAGTGCTGTGGTCAGATGAGACCAAAATTGAGCTCTTTGGCATTAACTCGACTCGCCGTGTTTGGAGGGAGTGAAATGACCCCAAGAACACCATCCCTACAGTCAAGCACGGAGATGGCAACATTATGCTTTGGGGCTGTTTTTCTGCTAAGGGTACAGGATGTGTTGAGGGGCAAATAGACGGGGCCATGTACTGTAAAATCTTGGACGAGAACCTCAGCCAGAACACGGGTCATGGGTCATGGGTCATGGGTCATGGATGGGTCTTCCAGCATGACAATGACCCGAAACATACCGCCAAGGCAACAAAGGAGTGGCTCAAGAAGAAGCACACTAAGGTCATGGAGTGGCCTAGACAGTCTCCAGACCTCAATCCTATAGGAAATCTGTGGAGGGAGCTGAAACTTCGAGTTGCCAAACGACAGCCAAGAAACCTTAAGGATTTAGAGAGACTCTGTAAAGAGGAGTGGAACAAAATCCCTCCTGAGATGTGTGTAAACCTGGTGACCAACTACAAAATATAGTTAATACTTAGAATATGTGAATAACTTAATTTTGAAAAAAAAAAAGTCAGATAGAATCTTATAATTCCAAGGTGACGATTTGACTCCGAGTCAAAGCAGTAGTTTGAGAATTTTTCTACAAAAAAAATGTAAACTAGCCCAACTGAATAAGAATATTTAAAATGTAAGATTAGATGTTTTATCAGGCTATTATTATTTTTACATTTAGATACCTATGTATGTCAGAAGGCCATGTGACAGTAAAGACATTGGGAGTTCAGGGTTTTCATCTTGAGGTTTTGCTTAAAATAAATATCTACTAAAAACAAGCAAGCAATGTACAGCAAATAAACAAAATATGAGCAGAAAGGAAAGTTAACTAGTAATTTCAAAGTTTTAGTTGCCTTTCCTTGCCATGTACAAATAATTTTCCAAACTTTTTTCTGCAGTGTTTTAGCAAAGCGCACTGTTATTTTGCTGCGCACTGTGCCTCTGTTGTTAAAATAACATCTGTAGTTTTTGTAAAGCTTTATGTCTTTAGCGGGGGAGAGAAGCAATGATATATGAATGAATATATTAGAGGGTATAACGTGGTGTGTACAGCTCTGTCATTTTGACATGCTGCTCACTTTAAACAGTAGAAATGGTCTCACAATCCGGTTGGAACCAAGCCAGGATCCAGAACCAGACCGTAGTCTGCTATTTGAGGACCCATGGATTAGATCTTGAACTAGATCTAGAAATTGCTTGCCATTTTTGAATGCAGTATGCATTACAAAGTCAGTGAACAGAATGGCGGTGTTGCAGTAGAACCAGTTTTAAATGGCAAGGTTTCCTGTGGAATATATTCCCATGTATTAGACCAACCTCTTGTGCAGTGTTTTGTCTTTACAGATTGATATCAAATGCTTTGCTTTCAGTGCTTTATGGTACAAATTTACACAATACATTGTTGTCCACTGTCATCTGTATACGGTTGAATATAACACATCAATAGAACAAAGTACTGTAAGTCCATAACACTGTGTCAAACAGCCGGGTAGGCAGTCCTAACAGCAGCCAGTCCAAAAGGGCAGAAAGAATCCAAAAGTCTGATGAGCAGAGGAATCAGAAGCCGTGCACACAGACAACAGTGCATAGACAGCCAGCTCAAGACAGAAGTCAGCAACATGCAAGGGTCAGTAACCAGTGAGCAGTCCAAACTGGTGGTTAGAGCCAAGAGGAAGTTAGAACAGCAACCAGACATGTAATCAAGGAACAATACTGAAGAGGGCAGACTGAAGTCAGGTGAATGCTGGCAGCACAGACTCCACTGTAAAGACAGTGGAAAATACACAAAGACAATACCACAAACACTCAGGCACAATTTGTGCTGTCTAGCTCTCAGCCTTCAGTCATGTCTATTTATTGGTTTTGTCTTTGTGTACTTTTGCAACATACACAATCCAGCAAACACAAGAGGAAAAGAAGCACAATATAGAGAGGTAAGCATATGAGGAACAGGTAAGTGCAACTGCCCAAGCAAAGACTAGACACATACTAAAGTGTGGTAAAGGGAAAACAAGGAGGCAGGACAAGAGGAGTCCATACATGGCCAACACAGACAAAGCTAAGTACTCTAACACAAGACAAACATAAATACTCGAAATAAGGACAAAATGTGCAGGACTGCCAAAGCTAATTATGTAGGTTTTTTTTTTTTTTTCATTTATCTCTGTATCTACAATAGGAAAGGCATCATTTTTCATGTATCTGCATATTTTTGAGTAGTCTTTTTTACTGCAATCAAAGATGTGATTCAGCACTGAAAGCTGAGTATCTTTAATCATAGTGGTTTTTTAAGGCTGCATACTGATATGTAGAGAACAATGTAATAAATTACTTTTTTTTTCTTTTCAGGAAAGGTGACTATGAGGACTGAGACAGGGCCTGGGACTGAGGTGACACCCCAACATAAGGGTACTGAAGTTACCATTCCAGAGTCAGACTCAGATGGTAAAATGGCGAAAGAGGTAGGGAATTGTTTAAATGTCCAACTAATATTTTAAACATTTGTTCATTTATTTTTTCTTTGAAAATGTGTACATCAAACCAAAGTCAGTGTAGTCAACCAACATGCAGGAAACCATCTGACAAGAAAACCACAAGACAGATGACATGACAAAGAGTACCCACTCCTGTAGACTCGCATGACTGCCTAATTGACAGTTTTTTCAACAACAAAAAAAAAGAAAGAAAGAAAGAAAATATTTTAGTGATTAACAGTTGTGAAAAAAATATAATGTAATATAAACTGATATAATATAATATAAACTGATAATATATACTGATTATAGGATATTAAGCCTCATGATGACTCTGGAGATGTACATGATGCATCAGACAGAACAACGTCCAACAAGAGCCCAAGATCCCCTCAGAAAGGCTCCAAACGCTCCAAGACTGTTCCCTTTAAAGTCACACTTTTGGACAGTTCTATTTATGAAGAGAACATTGAGGTAAGTGAAAGAGTTGTTTCAGTGGTGTCCGCATGGCAGTTGTCTTTATGCTTCATGTGAAGCACTAAGAACCCTTTAATAAACTCATAAATCAACTGTTTTTGTCACTGACAACTTTGACTGGAATAATTTCTAAACTGAAACTACCATAGGTTATTATAAAATACACTTTCCCTCACAGGGATGTTTTAGTATGTACAAACTCAGTTTCCAAAAAGGTTTTGGAAAACCTTTTTGGAAAAACTCCAAAAAACATTTTGGCAAATGCAATAAAAACAAGAAACAAGATATTTAACCTTTCTCCATTCTCTTGAACCTTTGTTTAACTGACAAAAGTATAAAGAAAATATTTCCATTTCCACTGTGCTTTGTAAATATGAAAACCTTTTTGAGTCTGATGTCTTCAAAACACTTAAAGAAAATTGGAACATATAACATTTATTTATACAATATAGTGTTTATACAGTACAGATTATTTCAAGGCAGCTTCACAGTATTACAGTTTCTTATTTGCTTTGGTACTATTTTCACAAGCAACTGTTACATTTTCAAAACCCTAAGTACTAATATCACAACAGATCATCAAAAGTGCAGTTTTTTCAAACATTTCAGTGTATTTTCAATTGTCTTAGTACAATACACACGATCACAAAGTATCCTTTTCACTACACAAAATAATTGTTTCATCTATATAAATGTTTCATTCACAGTTACTGACTTTCATAAAGCTCTTACTATCAAACTTTTCATTTGCATGTCTTCTCATTCAGTTTAATACATTTGTCTATTATTTAATCTAACTCATCTTAATGGTTAATCAGTGAATCATTTGGTGCATCTATAGATATAGTTTCTAAAGAACTTGTTGGCAATTCAGGGATAACCAAATGTAATGAATTTTTTTTTGCACTATAAGTGATTTATCTTAGATGACAACCACTATTGTGTGTGTGTGTGTGTGTGTGTGTGTGTGTGTGTGTGTGTGTGTGTGTGTGTGTGTGCGCGTGCGCGTGTGCGCGTGCGCGTGTGTGTGTGGTTCAGGTAAACCCTGAACCAAAACAAAATGTCCCCACAAAGAAGGCAATATCTGAAATCCTTGTCCTTGTGGGAGATTTTTTTTTCTATGAGAAAAAACATAATTTTCATAAGGGTAGGTTTAGGAGTAGGGTTAGTGTAGGGGGATAGAATATTTGTACAATATAAAATGCATTGCTCCTATGGAATGTCACTATTATGATAGAAATACCTCTGTGTGTGTGTGTGTGTGTGTGTGTGTGCAAGCAAAACTTGACAAAATCACCAAAAACCTCCCTTTGAGGACGTCCTCATTTGTAAAGCTGTGTGTTTTGCAATTTGTGAACATACGGCGGGATACAAGGGAGAGAAATTTATCAGAGATGTATCAGTAGAAGGGAGACAGATGGCCTCAAATACAGCATTTTACATTACATTCTGCCATGTGATACTGTATAGTCTTTAGCATGGTAGAGACTGCTCATTACTATAACTCACCTTTCATCTGATAAGTTCAGTTACAGTCATATGTCATACTGCATTGACAATAAACTTTGTTCTAGCACCAAACCTTATGGCCATGTCATACCTTCATCACACCTTTTGATACAGTAACACACTGTATAAATACTTTTACAAACATTATGGATTTTATGTGAGTTTTGCAAGCTAGGTAATGTAAGTGTATTTTCTAACATGACAGTTATTGCCTCTATTACTAATTATTTCAGCAACAAAGGTGATTTGAAACAAGTATCTTGCATTGTTTGCTCTTGAATTAACTGATTGTTAAAAGTACTAAGTTGAAAGAAGATTTTACTGTTGTGTTTTGGTGATTAAACCAAATGTCCTCAATACATATCACAATGATCTTGTGTTCTGAAACAATGATTATGTGGAATGAAAATATGCGCAACTACAAAGAAATCATGAGATCAGGTTTTGAAAGAATGACTAGTGGTGTTAAAGGTGTGATCAGTTTAAAGTTTTGTACTAAGAGTTTTAAAAATGTACACCTTACTTGTGAAAATAGTTTAAACCAATTTTTAAAAAACTGTAAACCGGAAAATAACAGAATCAATGATTTTGAGTGTGTTGCAGGCATCAAATTCAATATTTAATTTTTTGAATTAAGAAAACTTAATTAAATTGGTCAGTGAAAACACTGGAAATATTTTCTTTGTAAATGTGTAAATATTTTCATTTATACTATTTTCACAAGAAAGGTGGATATTTTCAAAACTTTTAGTACAAAATTCCAAAGTGATTGAAATCCACACTTGTAACACCACTAGTCATTCTTTCAAAATCTGATCTCATGCTTTCATTACAATTACACATATTTTCATCCACTCAATCATTGTTTCAAAACATAAAATTATTGTAATATATATTGAGAACATTTGATTTAATCACCGAAACACAACATTGTGATCTTCTTTCAGTTTAGTACTTTTAACAATCAGTTCATTCAAGATCAAACAATGTAAAATCCATGTTTCAAATCACCTTTGTTGCTGAAATAATTACAATAATGCAGGCAATAATTGGCATAACTCACAAAATCCATAATGTTTGTAAAAGTATTTATACAGTGTGTTACTGTATCAAAAGGTACAATGATGAAGGTATGACATGGCCATAAAGTTTTGTGCTAGAACAGAGATTACTGTCAATGCAGTATGACATATGATTGAATTTATACTGTAACTGAACTTTTCAGATGAAAGGTGTGAAGGTGAGTTATAGTAATGTGCAGTCTCTACCATGGTAAAGACTATACAGTATCACATGGTATAATGTAATGTAAAATGCTGTATTTGATGCCATCTGTCTTCCTTATTCTGATACATCTCTGATCAATTTCTCTCCCTTGTATCCTGGTGTATGTTCACAAATTGCAAAACGCACAGTTTTACATACGAGGATGCCCTCAAAGGGAGGTTTTTGGTGATTTTGTGAGGTTTTGCTAAATTCTTGGTACCAATTTGTCCCCAAAATATGGTTAGTCACTTAAACACACAAAACACACACACACACACACACACACAAACAAACAAACACATGCATTCCAATCATTATGATGACATTCCTTAGGAACAATGGGTTTTATACTGTACAAATATTCAATACCCCTACATTAACCCTACTCCTAAACCTACTCTTACGAAAAAAAAAAAATACATATTAAGTTTTGTCCCCATAACATAGGGTTTACCTGAACCACACTCACACACTTACAAATAGTGGTTATCATCGAAGATTATAGTGATTATAAGATTTCACTTATAGTGCAAAAAAATAATTCATTACATTTGGTTATCCCTGAATTGCAAACAAGTTCTTTAGAAAATATATCTATTGAATCTGTATCTATAGATATCTAGAGATGCACCAAATGATTCACTGATTAACCATTAAGATGAATTAGATTAAATAATAGGCAAATTTATTAAACTGAATGAGAACACATGCAAATGAAAAGTTTGATAGTAAGAGCTTTATGAAAGACAGTTACTGTGAATTAAACATTAATATAGATGAAACAATTATTTTGTGTAGTAAAAAGGATACTTTGTGATTGTGTGTATTGTACTAAGACTAGGGATATGCCGGTATCAAATTTTCATGTTGCGATTAATTGATAATGCTTTTATCACGGTATACGATATTGAAATTTGGTTGCAAAAAATTGTCATAATACAGTATAACAGGTTTAATAACTTTTTTCTTGTAACAAAAATAACTGAACATTTAAATACAATAAGGCAATACACAAAAAAATTATAAAGTTTAAAATTTTACACAGATTAAAGTGCAAAAGAATTATAAACACCAATAGGTATCACTTTACTCCATCGGTGACAGAATGGAGAAAAAACCTTGGGAGAAACCAGGCTCAGTCGGGGGGCCAGTTCTCTTCTGGCCAGACGAACCAGCAGTTCAATTCCAGGCTGCAGCAAAGTCACATTGTGCAGAGGACTCAACTGGTTCCTGTGGTCTTGTCCCGGTGGCCATCTAGGAGACAAGGTCTTAATGAGAGGCTTAATAACAGCCAGTTTGAAAGGTTTTGGGGACATATCCTAATGACAATGACGAATTAATAATAGTCAGAAGAGGATCTATGACTTCGGGAAGCACCACTTTTAGGAGCTTAGATGGAATAGGGTCTAACATACATGTTTTTTTTTGTTGTTGTTTTTTTTATATTTTATTTTTGCTTTAGAACTGTAATAAAAAATACAAAACACAACATAAATGTTGTTGGTTTAGATTATTTAAAAAGTTTATACAATTCTTCCTCTCCTATAGTAGAGAATGAGTGGAATTGTTCCTCAGGGGATCCTCTATCTAAAATGCTAGAAAAGAGAGAGTCTATAGTTATAGCTAATCATCAAGTTGTTCTGAGGTATTGGATATGCTAAGGAAGTGAGATAAATCAGGAAGATTACTTACAAAGCATTCCTTTGTGGTAGAAGTGATGGTTCTACCATACTTGTAAGAAGGAGTAGAATTTACAGTTTTAGCTATATTAAGTTTGCACAAGACTAGATAATGATCTGAGATATCGTTGCTTGGCTGCATAATTTCAACACCATCAACATCAATTCCATGTGACAGTATTAAATCTAGAGTATGATTTCGATAATGAGTCGGTCCTGTCCTGACACGTGTTGTCTAACCCCAATAGAGTTCAGAATGACTATGAATGCTGACCCCAATGCATCATTTTCATTATCAACATGGATATTAAAATCACCAACAATTAAAACTATATCTGCAGCCAGCACTAACTCGGATATAAAATCAGCAAATTCTTTAATTAAGTCTGTATGGTGCCCTGGTGGCCTGTATACAGTAGCCAGCAAAAACATCACAGGGGATTTATCATTAACACTTGTTTCTCTGGATAATGTTATATGAAGCACCATTACTTCAAACGAGTTATACTTGAAGCCCCCGCCCTTCTGAAAATATTGTTAGAA